CCAGTAAGAAGCAGGGTTACTATCTCTGCTTCTTCCAGACAGCAACAGAATCAGTACGGCCGGCTCTTCGTCTCACGCTTTGCTCTAGTAACAGGTATAGCAGGGCTATGATGACCCTCAAGTACAACATACTGCACCCTATAGCATGCCCAAGTTAAAAGTCTCTGATCTGTATCCCTTTCAAGCATACCTTTTTTCCTAATCCCACTTGACTCCTGTGAGCATCAGGAGGATGACAGAAACCTCTTTCTTCATAGCGTTCCCTGAATCCCACTGAACTCTCTATGACAGCCAAAGAAATCAACAAAATATGACACTGATACAATTACGTGCCATCTTTAAGTTCCTTAAGTCATCTAACGGGGAGAAGTGCAACCTATAAAGTGTTCTTAATGCCTCACACAGCCCTGCACGTGAATAGCTGTGGTGATAGTGTAGAAAAAAAGGAAAACTGGACAGTGTTTCTAGCCCCATAAAGTCATTTAATGTTAAATGTGCGTGTCTAATTAGTGAGGTGTATGGCAACCTCTAGTGGTATACGGCTGCTTAGAAAACAGCAAACATTCCAATATATGAAGCTATAGGAAAAGCATTTGCCTTAAGTAACCAGTTGTCTTCGTGTCACTAATTTTATTAGAATGCCACGGTGATGAGATGTCAGAATACAGCTGTTCAGGGAAAGACTCTCCATTTACCAAGCGGGCAGGCTAGCTGTAGAAAAGCTGAATGCCATGAAAGCTGTTCCCAAATAGGTTAAAGGAATTAATGCCAACTGACTTGCAGTTTTAAGTGACAAGTCGAATACCTGCACTAATATGCCAGTTAGGTGCGTGGCTTTACTTTTTGGTAATTGTACTTGTAGACTAGAAACCAGGCAAAGGAAACACCTACCCTCATTGCAGGTATGCAATACTCCACCTGGGTGTGCTTTGTTGCTTAGAGACTATACAGCCACCTCTGGTAGTCATTTGTGACAATGACGACATCAACACACATTTTATTTTATTTTTTTATAATAGTCTACCAATATAATTTAAAGATACTACAAATATGAGAGAGACACAGTGCAGTGCAGTATCACCCTTGGCACTACGCTGATAAAATAGCTCCGTGTAATTAAAAACAAACCAGTGGTAACAGCGGATAGAGAAGGGAAGGATCTCAACGTCAGGGCCGTCTACAGCAGAGGACATCCAACATTAAATGAATACTGCCCTGGATCTTATTATAAAACATCTATTACATCTATTTTTACTTCCAGCAGCTGCTTGTGATAGATTTATACAAATCTGTCAATTTTCATGCTTGCTGGAACATGATACGAATTACCCAACATTATGAAGTTGTATTTTACTGAGCTCTTACGTACACTACATTGAATATTCTCAGCTAATTCTTTCATAGAAAATAGTCTTCAGAATTTAGAACAATTGGCAGTCTCTGCTCAGAATAGGATTAGGAAAAAGCTTGCATGGAAATGGAATTACTTCTCACATTAAGGAAGGAATCATTAGAGCATCTGGTGAGGCTTAAATTATGACTGTTGTATTGCTAAGCAGATTTTAAGTTAAGTGTTTCACAGCTACTTAATTTAAAAACCTATACCCTAAAATACTTCATGTAATATAAAGTACCATCTTCTTTTTAGGCTTTTCCTTCACAGAAAACACTTTTTCATTATGAATACTGTGGTTTATTCTCTCAGAGATGCTTCCACTCTGATGGTGGAACCAGAATAGGAATTTAAATATAAATATTCTGATTTGGCATCATGGAGCAAGCTGGGTCCATCAGTGCAGGCTAAATTTAGTAAGGGTGGCTAACAGACTTCGTAAGGTAGGAAAACAAAGGACAACGTATGCCTCAAAATATCAATCTCTTAAGAAATATGTGTGTTCATAAGTATTTATTCCTACTGCTTTTCTTGATAACTGAAACCTTATAACAAAACTGTGTATCTTGAGAGGAAATCAGGTTAAAATACTTCCTTTATGGTGCTTAAGCCTGCCAGGGAACCCAAGGCTGTAAAGCTCCTGAGAAGAAAATGTTACCATACTAGCAGTAAAGTCTTACGGGAGACAGGCTGGCCCTGGAACTGACTCTTCCTTCCAGCCTGCCCGTGTCCTAGCCCCACAGGACATTTTACAACAGATTTTAATACATTTTTATAGTAGGGTCTTTTGATTTATAAGCAATCATGATCATAGTGACAAATTAAATCCCAGTCTTGGTGGCCATTTTTGCCTATTGTCCAGATGTAGGGGGGGGGGGGGGGGGGGGGGGGGGGGGGGGGGGGGGGGGGGGGGGGGAATCAAACATATTCCCTAACCCTCCTCTTGTTTTTCTGGTTCTGTTTTAAATTTAAATTCACGTCCTTCATTACAATTTCTACACTATACTAACATGGAGCGTCTGGCTACAATGAGGCTTAAAAATAACAGCACGGAATATCTTTGGACTATGTAAGAATATCGTATTATATATAATATATATCATATTGCCTTTTTGTTTTACTTTTTCCGTTGATGAGTATATCCATTTTCCGTACCTATCCTTACATTATATCCAACTATAAATACAGCTCCAACCCTGCTGGCACCCAATGCTTGGTATAACCAGCATCCTTCTCAGACTGCTATCCTACCACACTACAGTTGGTTGGATATTGTTTGGTTATTATTTGTGATACTGCCCAGCTCAGATCCCATGCGAAGTCCCTCTGCTAAAAGCCATACAGAAACCAACCAACAGTAGCTACTAAGAGCTTACATCTTTGGAAGAACTAAGAGTTTCGAATATGCCAGTACTATGTGTTTGCTCTAAGGTCTCTCTATTTGGCACATTTCAAGGGTGGCTTTGCTAGTCCTTCACACAGTAAAAGACAGGTAACTTGACAGACAATTTTAATGTGACGGATTTTTTTTTCCCCTGTTTTCTGCCACTTGCCCCTATTGCCTCCTTTCCGCACACCAGTGTTAAGCAACAACAGCAGTCTGTCTGCCTTCAATAAGAATATCAGCACAATTATTTCACAACTAAAATCAAGCAGCAATGTTGAAGTCTCGTCGTAACTATGCATGCCTAGAGAGATGACGAATAAGGCACCCAAACGTCACAGCAGATTGTTGAAACGTTGCATACACGGAGTGCAAGAGAATTTCTGGGTGTTGCACGTCCTTCCTTGGGTCTTGAGGTGGGTCTTAAAGGTCAGGGAGTCAATCTGCCCCAAAGATGCCATTACAGATGGTGAAAACTGCATGTGAGAAGGCTGGAAAAGGCTGGTGTAGGGAGGAGCCTCACAGCACACAAAGGCTCCTTTTATGTTTCCGAGTTTTAAGGTTGAGGTGAGACGTGCGTGCAAAGGTACTGAGGTTGCTGCTTCTCTACTGATGGTTGCCACCTCTTCTGATAAGCCAGCAGACCACATGCTTAGCCATTTCATAACCCAATCAAACCAAAATAATCCAGCTGAGCTTACTATGAACCATGAGTTTAAGTTTTCAACAGGAGACGTCCACAAACTCAGAGCATTTTGACAAAAGCCAAGCCACACGGAAATACACGTGCAGTTACGCCACACGACTACAAGATTACTGAGTGGTGATAACAGCCGCCTGTAACGGGACTAGCAAGATAACCTCTTCCTGGCCCAAATATAACCAGAGGAACACAGCTCGTGCTTTGGTCTGCAGAAACAGCAGTAGAATAAAATGGAACAAAACAGAAACCGGGAACATAGGAAAAAGCCCTGAAGTGGAAAAAGTAGTATCACACTAAAAACCAGACCATGTTTTTGAGCATCAAGGTAGTGTATCTCACACCACGCTAGGATCTATGATTTCAGAGGCCAACATTTGCAAATGCTTGGAAAACTCAGAGACTCTATGTCTATGATCTGAGAAATGAAGAGAGCAGGTATTTAAGACAATGTCTGTGATACGTAACAGGAAAATAGCTTCAATTCAAATTCTGAACACTCATTATCACTGCCAAGGGTATGAAAAGAGGGTGACTGTCAAGCAGGGAAAAGGTAATGGCAGAATGCATTCATCCTGGATACATGTCCATACTTTTACAACCAACCATTTCCAAAAGAGAAGGGGCTCGGAAAGAATTAAATCCTGAAGAGCAGTGGTTTAAGAACACGATGTATCTCTCGTTAACCCAGTCCTTTACAAAGTGTACAGGCACGCAATTATCATGTACTTATTTTTGGCACACTGTCTGTACTTGACAAGCACTATAACAGTTTATTCCAGATCGCATTAACAAGGACCTTCCCGGTTTCCCTTGGAGCGTGGAGCAGGGCTGGCTGCCAAGATGAGAAGGGTGCCTGACGCATGATTACCTGCCTTTACAAAAGTGGTCTGCAGCACAGATACAAAATAGGAAGGACCAACTTCAGTATCTACTTCTTTAAAGCTATGGCCCTGTTTTCGAACCAGAGCAGATATCAACTATTTATTACTATACAGGCTAATAAACTTTATCACTTGAAAAGCACGGGTGTAGGTTTTATTGCCCATATTTGTAGGGCCCCGTCACAAAATGATCGTTGCGTTACGTCTGATTTAACAAATAGATCTTTTGCCAAATACGCCGGAAAAAGTAAAGCAAGTTGCAAATCCAGTCTGCGTAGTACTTGAGAACCACCACTCAGTGCATTTTTATAATAACGTGACACATGACTAAAAAAAAGTATAATTCACACAAATCCCTGAAAACCTTCTGGTTTGAAAGCAGCTACTGGCCGTCCTGTTAAGAGAATCAAAAGTCAGAAGTTTCTCAGACAGAGAAACTAATACTTTTTGTGCATTCAGAACAGAATCAAGTACAAAGCAAGTAAGATTTATTCTGGGATTATTTAGTTATTCAGTTATCATTTCAGCTATTTAGTTCATCAGTATCTATTGAGGTATATAAAATTCAAGTTCCTCTACTCCTGAGTTTCAGCAAAGATGAGTTTCAAGAGAAGTCTATTTGTGAAGTTTTATATTTACCTGATGATCCTCTGAGCAGCATACTGATGAAGTGAGCGGAACTGTGCTGACATATTTGCTAAGGCTGCCAGACAATTTGTATGAAGGTATTTGTCCTGTCAGAAAGAGGAGGAAAGGAAAAAAACACATCAAATTGTCCTTTTGATATATATTGACACCAATTGCAGGAATCATTCAAAAGACTGAGTAATATATGTGGCTTTGAAGGACACGGTCAAAAGCATATAGCAGAAACGCAAAGTGTATATACTTGGTGATGTTTTAAATATGTTTTCTTAAAATACAAGGCTTATAAAAGAGTGATTGTTTCATACAGATTTCAGAGCGTATATATGTGTACGTGTACATGCATATGTATGTGTGTGTCTTCACTTCTTTAGCAATGTTGATTTACAATGCCATCACAGACGTAACATATATTGAAAGACATTCTCCTCCACTCCCTCTCTCTCCTTTTTGCAGTCTTATCCTAAAATTTTCTGCTTCATAACTCATCTCCCTATTAACTCTTTCAAAGCATTCTGTATATCCCACAACTATAACCATACGATACTTCAGAGATCCGGTCCCCTTGTTAGCATCCCTGAAACCATTTGACCAGATAAGCATTTCAATGACGGCCCTGTCGAAGTTGAGGGTTTTCACAGAACCAAACTTGTCCGCTTATCCAATCCAAGAGAGATTTATTTTCCCTACTCAAGTCTAAAATATGCATTTACATAACGTAACAGATTCCAGATCCTACAAATATATGCCAAGAATGTCCTCGTTTCTTCCAATGCTTTTGATCATAAAAGTGAAACCCTTAAGTTTTCCAATTTAAAATATATTTAATTTTTTTCCCTACTTTTTCATCTAAAAACTTCTGTGCCTTTAATTGTTGAAAATATACAAAAGTGTATAATACCATGCTTACGTGTTTGAGATAAGGTATAGAATCAAATGCTTGAAAAATGCACAAAGACACTCTGATAGGAGGCTATGAAGTTGAAGCAGTTTTGCTTTGCTAGGGCTCAAAAAGGTTTTACGGCCCAGTCACTGTCCTACTTCATAAAAGCACTAACAATAAATAGAGCTGAAATTCCCACTTCTGAGTAACTGAACAGACACAAACAACCTATAAGGAGTCATTTCTTCTCATCAACCTAAGGAACTTTTCCTTCTCATCTGAAGATGAGCAGTTCGGTGCCTGAATCATGGACTTTAGAGAAACCCACTCAATGGATTGAACGATAATACAGAGACGGTGTTACAAGTTCAGAACCACTTATTGTTGTGCTTCGTTAATATGGCTGATCTGCCCATTCCTTCCCTCCTGTAAATTCAGATGCCAACTGGTTGCAACAGAATGAAGAAAATCCCACACCCTGTTTGAAATCGAATTCATGCTGTTGAAGTTAGAAATCCACTCTACGTGCATAAGCGCTACACGTAACTCTTACCCTTGTCCGTGTCATGTTGTACTGGATGGTTCTTATCACGACTAGTATCAGGAGACTCCCAAGTGAGATCTCTGTTAAGACACGCTCAGCATACCAAGTGATATTTTTCAATATCTGAAAAAAAAAAGAACAAAGTTCTTCAGCACCTAGGTCTGAATAAGAACATAGAAAGTTGTCTGGACTCTCGCATTCCTTAAGATAGGTAAATTAGCTTCCAGCTTCAAATGTGACCAAAACCTATTGTATTCTAAAGCAAGAATAAAAGAAAATTTAAAAAAAAAAAAGAAAAAGACAGACTTCTGCAGTATTATCACCTAGTAGATCTCATCAACTTTATCATAAGACATCTGGAAACACACTAAGTGTAGAAAGATGATGAGATTTGGCAATTCCCTAATTTCTATGCCCTGTGCCACCACACTCCTATCTATATTCTTTCGATCTTACCCTTCACACTTTAAAAAGTCTCCAGTTCCACCCTAGCCACCTGAATAACGTTGCCAATTCCTTCCCATTTTCCCTCATTACAAGTTGGGCAAGAGGCAGCACGTACAAGCTCTGACTGATCGGCAAGAGCGCACATGCTGAAGGACACAGGGCAGATCAACAGGTTAACTGTTGACTTCACACTGAAGCCTTTCTCTTGCCAGAGGTGAGGTCTCTTCCCTTAACAGGTTAGAGAAAGTCATCAGCTAGGTTAAGAGCTTCATATCTTTCAGTGCTCTCCACTATCAGGGTGGATGAAGTTTACCACCATTTCTGAGTTTATTGCAGAAGGAGAATCAATCCGCTCTTTCCTCTTAGAGTACTCAGCCGACCAACCTGGAGTGATACAGCAAACATATGCACAAAAAAACCCTGCCTTAAAGGACTGGTAAAAATGAGTCAACAGGAACTGCCCTAAAAACATGGAGAAGATCCTCTATAAATTCAGGGTTATTCTGGGTCAAACCAAAAATTTGCTTAAACAAGGACTATTCCACACAAAGTTGTCACTCTGTATAACTTTGATATATTTGATATATTAAGTACATTTCACTGAAACTTCATGTTCAGATGTCTTAAAAACCCAGCCAAACCCCACCAACCTCACTGATCAACTTCATTAATTAGCCTCTTCTCTTAAAAAGCTATATGAAAACACACTTCTGACTATATTCCTTCTTCCCACCGCTCCTTTGGATGAGTGAAAAGAATTGTTGCCCTTCATTTTATGTCATTTCTGCTTTTAGAATTCCCTCTTCCTCCCACTAACAAGCTCGCTCAGCAAAACCCCTTCTTTCTTCAAGAAAGAGGATGGAGAAGTAGCAACTGATTTCCTGTGAGGAGATATGGAGACTTGGCCACTGAATGACTTGCAGAACACAAAGGGAAAGGCAATGCTGGGAACTACTTCAAGCTGCTGCTGATTTTGTACTATTTACTCCTTGTGTCTAGGACAGACACATTCAAATAAACTGTGATGGAAAGAATCATAACTTTATTTGTGAAAAAGAAGGGATACCTGGAAAGTAAAACTAAAATCATATATATATATATATATTTTAGTGAAATATTTAAAAAATAGCACTTTCAGAATCTAAAGCCTCATACAGCTACCTAAAAAAACCCCGGATAATCTATGCAAGGATATCTACACAGGCTTCTGAAGGAATATAATACTAAATTCTGCAAAATCTGTGGCAAAATTCAAGCTCAAAGTTTAGGCGTCTCTCATTACGAAGTGTTACACCATAGCATCATCCCTTGGTTTGGTAGTGCAGGACTCTTCCACTACAACTCAACATTGCCACAGAGAAATGATTCCGCATCTGAAAGCAAAAACATTGGGTGTACTCACACATTCAGGTAACCTGGAGAAATGGACAATCAACACATAGGTATTTAGATCTCATTATTTGTTTGTTAAAGGTGCAAAACACCGCCTTGCCTCATTAATGGTAATGGCAAAAGGTTACTTCGTTTCTTTGATAATCAGGTGTTCACTTTACAAACAATTGTATGCCATGTTTTTAAATGATGTAAGTCACTCAGTTGCTAATCACTAAAAGAGCACAGAACTGGAATCCAAAAAGGTCACCCCGTATTTGTAGTTTCCATAATATTAAATTTGTCATTTGAAATTCTGTGTATTTAAGGGGATTAGTAATTATGGTCATGCACACTGTTCAGCTCATCAAGGGCAGTACATTAAGCAATCTTTTTCTCTTTGCCTATATTTGAGAAGGAAATGGGAGACCGAGAGCTATTTTACTAACACAGCTTCTTCCGTTCAGCCCAGAGCCTGGATCTGTGCAAACCTTTATGAATTACAGAATCATAGAGTCACTTAGGTTGGAAAAGACCTTTAAGATCACCGAGTCCAACCGTTAACCTAACACTGCCAAGTCCACCACTAAACCATGTCCCTGAGCACCACATCTACACGACTTTTAAATACCTCCAGGGATGGGGACTCCACCACTTCCCTGGGCAGCCTCTTCCAATGCTTGACAACCCTTTCAGTGAAGAAAGTTTTCCTCATGTCCAATCTAAACCTCCCCTGGCGCAAGTTGAGGCCATTTCCTCTCGTCCTATCGCTTGTTACTTGGGAGAAGAGCCCGACCCCCACCTCGCTACAACCTCCTTTCAGGGAGTTGTAGAGAGCGATGAGGTCTCCCCTCAGCCTCCTCTTCTCCAGGCTAAACAACCCCATTTCCCTCAGCCGCTCCTCATCAGACTTGTTCTCCAGACCCCTCACCAGCCTCGTTGCCCTTCTCTGGACACGCTCCAGCACCTCGACGTCCTTCTTGGAGTGAGGGGCCCAAAACTGACCACAGTATTCGAGGTGCGGCCTCACCAGTGCCGAGTACAGGGGCACGATCACTTCCCTACTCCTGCTGGCCACACTATGTCTGATACAGGCCAGGATGCTTTTCATACAGTGGAATATCAGTAGGCTACGTAGGAGTCCTGTAAGAATATTAACAGCACATTTGTCATTGCAGATGACAACTTGTTTTTAAATGGAACATATTTCTTTGAAGAGAAAATTAAAAGTTGTATTATAAAAAGAACGCTTCACGTAGGAAGTTCTTATTGTCCCTTTCTAATTATCTTCCTGATCTTTGTTTCTCCTCCATCAGTCCACTTTGGTATTGAGTTTTCCCCATGCTCCCTGTAGTTGGGTTTGGAATATCACCAATATAATCAGCCAACAGACTGCTGTTGACCAATCCTTCCGAATATGAGTCAGCAAGGCAGTCTGATGTATTTTACGGTATGCCTGCTGCCGAACCTCTTTTCTAGTCAGCAGCCTTAATTTGTGCAGTAAGTTTAAGACACACACACAGAGCATATGCCTCCCACAAAGCCCCATAAACTAAGGAAATGATTTATACTACAATCTGTGAAACATCAAAGATCTTAAGTACTATGCTGTTTTGAGGACCCAACAGGCACTCAAAACACCGCAGTAATGCAAGTTATATTAGTGATGAGAATGGAGAGGTTTAGACTATAGTTGTTTTATGTCACCTACTCTGAAATACATACTCACAAAGCCCTGTAACTTACATATAATTCTGCTTCGTTTTATCCATCAACTTTTACCCTTAAATCCCAAACACGTATGTCACAGGCTCTCTTTGCTTTAAGCGTTTCTTTTCATTATCAGTTGGGATCAAGTCCTCCTTCCCTTCCACCACCATACTCCCACCTATGCCTTTAAAAGCATTTTTATCAGCTCCAAACACAAAGCAAAGTAAGACCTATCCTATCAAATACACAGGATGATGACAACGAAGACCTTTGAGAAATGCATCCAACAGTTCCGCTCACAGCAAAATTTGCAGTCAGGACAGACCTACACGTGATTAATCAGAGACATTCAAAGCAGCAGAATTAAAGGGAAAAAACAATTTTTTTTAAAGGAAGCATTCTTATAGGGCTCCTCCTTTGGGGCAGAAAAGCAGCCACCACCTTCACACACCTGATTTTCTTGGCTACCCTCAGCTTGATGCCCCCTGTAAGCGCCCGGCTGCCCAGGCCACCCATCCCCTGACGGCCAGCAAGGCACTTGCTTTTCGAGTACTCCCCCGCAGAGCACCCCAAGCCGAGCTCCGCAACGGGTACTGCGGCTTTTCCCAGCATTTGTGATAGGAGTATTGCTGGCAAAAATCTGGGTATTATTTAACACAAGGCGCTGGGGGATATTATATTTCCCGTAGTATTGTGTAGGATCCTACCGTAAGTAATGCTTAATAGTCAAGACATAATTACACATACATTTTATCAAAACTCTTAGTCAATAGATTCCAAAGCAAAACCCAAGTGAAAAAAAAGAAAATCCTATGAAGCTTATTCTAGACAAGGGTAATACTTTACAAGTACTATCTTTAAAATGCCTTTTTTTTTTCTTTTCTTTTTTAAACATTTTTTTAACCTTCTAGGCTCTGCAAATTCCACGTGCACGCACGTTTCTTTCATTTACCTCCCATCATTCTCACCTTAACTCTGTGTCTCTTGATGCTCTTTCACAGTACAAGAGACATTTGAAATAGCATCTTAATTAGGATTCATCAAACTCTCTCCTCCCTCACTTTATCCCTAGCATACCCGAAAGCCTCTTTCATTAAGTATTTCAGAGAAGATTGCATTTGCCTATGCTGAAAGATCTTGGTGTTTTTTTGATGAACCTCCTAAAAAGGAGGAACCTCCTAAAAGGATTCTTACCCATTTATGCTTTGAAAATCATGCATACAAAGGCCTATGCAACAAGAGGTACATCCCAAATATCATTACAGACTAGATACACTAAAACAAACAAACAAAAAAGATATAGCCACTGAAGACATTTGGTAGGCTCAGGAAATTAATGTTAGTAGGTAAGCTGATATAGTTTGAGATACAGAAGTCATTTCTGTACCATGTATGAAGAGACAAAATAAAAGTTCAGATCATTAAAATAATAAAAAAAAAAAAAAGCATCTCCGTTACCACATGCTACCTAGTACCTGACTTTTTGTCAGCACCTCCCTATTTCCCACAAGGCAGCTGAAGTGAAGCCAATGACTATAACCTATAGATGGGAAAACCACTGTTTAATTGTAGTGCAGTGCTGGCTAAGGTGACAA